ACAGGGAATAGGTCGGCCGAAGTCACAGGAACTGCTCTCCAATGTCGCATCTGGGTTAAGACACAATGTCCCCAGGCCTGGTGGCAAGTGTGGGAGAACACCAAGGAATGGAGGATAAGGGTGATGGTAGAAGAGCTGCCTAGTAAACAGTGCATGCAGTCTCCTGAGTATTTGCCAAAAACACTTTAACATGGCTGTTCTCCGAGCAATGAGCTGCAGCAGATACCCAGATACGCTGTGGGGCTGATGTTACTACTGAGATGTGCTACCTGAATTCTCATTAAAAATGGCTACAAAAAATGCTCAAAAAAGTGCACAAAAGGGGAGGCTGTTTCATAAGATAAACTTTGATGCATACATTACTGAGATAAAATGGTGAAAATGCAAAACTGTAAGCTAATGTTGTCTAATTAAGTAGCTATGTTTATTCATTTTTCTTTTAATGGGACGAGTTGAAGCTGAAAGCCTATGGTTTTAAGAAGGAAATAAGGAAAATAAAACACAAGCAGGGTTTGCAGGAAACTTTGGCCGCTAGACTCTTGAAATCCTTCCTGACAAAACTTCTTGAGCAAAAGAGTGCAAGACTAAACACGCAAGCCAGAGCCTCCACCGAGCTGGGTCTGCGCTCTTTACTTATGGGAGCTCCGATGCAACAAATCATCTTCCGAGCGGTCGTGCTGATTGTGAACGTAACCCTGGCCGCTTTTCAGATGCAGTAAAACTGTTGTGTGCTTAGATCGGGTCTGTTTATTTTTAGAGGTAAAGCCTTGTCTCTGCCGCAGCGAGCAGAGCTGGGCACGATTCCATCGCAGGTGTTTTCCTGAGGACTCGGTCTCAGTTTTATTCTGGTGTAAGAGAGAGCAAAAGCTGGCGCTCGGTGCTGGCTTCAGTGAAGGCACATTTTCAAGGGAATCAGCTGAGCTGTAGTAATAAAGGAAGCCTTGGCCTTCTTTCAGGCCATGCTATCTCCTTTTTCTCACATTGTCTCGAGGCTTTAAATTTTCAGTTAAAGTTAATTGAATGTGACAGTGAGACATTGCACAGTGAAACCAGACCAATCACTGCACGAGTCAAAATAGGAGTCGTGATGACACTCAGAACAAGGGCTTGGGAAATGTGATATTTACATTAAAATATTTTACATTTTTGTCTCGTGGTTTTAAAACCAAGTTTAAAAATGCCTTACCACATCGCATAACAAATTTCTGTTTATCTGTATGTATTTGCATGTGTGCATTTGGACAATAAAACCAAATCATTATAAAACAAGATTTAGTAATAATGGGGTATTTTCTACGCAGTTACACAGCCTCATTTGCAGAAAAGGCAAAACAGAAAAACTCACATCAGATAAACCCACTCTTTTCTCTGAGAGACAGGCTTATGACGGTGAGGTGCATATAACGCCGTAGGAGAGTTTACTCTCCTATTAAGTGGCAACAGAGAATTTGACTGTTGTCTTTTCCATCTTCCTGCCCTTTAAAAAATTATCTGGATGTTGTTTCCAACTTTTAGCTTGCAGGTAAAACTTGTCATTACTATTCACTTATGTTAACTGTATTTGCATGGAGAATAAGGGCTTGTTCCTCCCCAAATGGATAAGGAAAACCAAGGACTTAATTTCGTGTTCATGATCTGAGTACTGTAAAAACAACAGAAAGCCTTAATCGGTGTTTTCAGGTTTGCAGATTCTCAGCTCAGTATCTAAATCCTCAGGGTTTTCACAGAGTCAAAGGGCTTTGTTTTCCTGTCAGTATGTAAAGCACAACACCACAGAAAAAGTTATCCTGCAGGAATACAAAACGTGAGCTGGTGTCATTCCATCAGGTGGCTTTCCATCAGGAATGGGGATATACTGGGCAATTTACATTCAGCAGCAGCTGTTTTTTGAGAACACTCTCCCATCCCACTGCACCCCACCCCCTCTCCCCCCAAAAAAAAAGAATCCAGGTTTTCTCCTGTGGAACTTCACCTCTTCTTTCTTTGCTTTCTGATCTGGTTGTACCTCTAGAAAGTGAAGCTCTGATACTGAAAAATCAATACACTTTAATGATCGGCATGCCAGAGGTTTTTTGGTTATGGGTTTTTTGTGGGTTTTTTTTTTTCCTTTTGGAAGCCTGACAGATGCATCTCTGGTTTCAGTGAAAGACTTGAATAATATAAACAAGCAGTCATTCTGTTCCATGAGGAGCTTTTTTTAATATTCTTATTTTATTGTAATTACCTTATTGTTTTCATATTATGAGCTACTTGTAGAAAAATACAGGAAACATGACTGCAATACAATCCTTTAATCAGGAATAGCTTTGTTCCAGTCATCATTTCCATTCAGTGTTGAATCTTTGACTAAGAAGAATACAATCAAACCTTGAACTTAGATGTAATATGGTGTTAATATTATGATTTCATTTGATCTCTGTACCTAGTAGCTTCTATAAGAGAACCTTTCAAAAAGTGCCTAGGAGACATTTTGTCTGTAATGCTATTTTCAAGTGAATCTAACTACAAAGTAGTGTTTCTCAAAAGTACACAAACTTCTCCCGGAGAGCCATTTAAAATCTTTTAACCTAAGTCAGCTGGGGAATTTGTATTATCATATATATTAAATCTTCTTTTTTCTTTTTTCTCCTCACAGATTATGCCATAATACCTTTACTGCATCATTGTCAAAGCATGTGAACTTTTAAAGGAAAAATACTCTTTTTTTTTTTATACTTAAATGGATTTAATACACTAGTTGTTTGTGTTATCTCTATGTATAATCCAGCACTGCAAAGAACTTCACTTTTATTGATTTGTAACCTCCCCCCAACCTTATTTTGGCCTATTCAGCAGCTAAGTGTTTATGTATTTGAATGAAGGGCTGGAATTAGGTAAAGTATTTTTTTAGATAAACTGTTTTAACAAAAAGCATTTGTCCAAGAAAGTTAAAAGACTGCTCCCAAGCTGTTCAAAAGCAGAATGCAGCTACATAGAGCAGGCGACGGCAATTCATTCTGTTCTTCACGGTCCTTTCTTTTAAATGGGAAGCCTATCCTAGATAGGCTCAGTTTCAAAGCATGCTTTCGATATAAAGATTGTGGATGTAAAATTATTACTTACACAGCATTTATAAAAATGAAACTCTCAGTTTTACGATATGGCTTTCATGACTTAAAAGTAGGTGGTATTAAAACACTTCACTTCTAGCTAATGGCTTGAATTAGGACTGAATAAAAGGCAATTGTTTTTATACCGAAATTATTATTTTTAAGAAGGATTTCCTTGTTTCCAGGCACATATATACACACATATATAATGTAAATTAAACTGAACTCCAGATAAAAGGCATACCTCCATGAGCACATTAGGGTCTGATCCAAATTTTGTCAAAGCTAGTGGGAGTCTTTCCCATTTCAAACCAGATTTTGCAATCCATATTCACACGACCCTCCAGGGGATCCCTCAAGCTGACGCGGTTTTGCATGACTTGGCCTCAAATGTCTGCTGCAGTTTCTAAAATCCCATTATAGGGCTGCAGTAGGAAATCATTTAGTCTAATTTAGGGAAATCACAGCATTTCTTATTTTCATATCATTTTGTTCTGATCCATCTGTTTATTCTTTTCTGAAGGCAGGCTGAAATGTTTTTAGCCTAAAGACTGAACTAGTAAAAACGCTGGCTGGAATAGTCTCGGCAGACGTGTTTGTTCCACATCCCCTTCTTCGGTGCAATATTTCCTTTGGTGGATTTCCTCTGCTCCTGGAAGCGAGCTGTCTAGCTTTCTGGAGCACAATTATGAAGAAGAATTTCCTACGTTTTACTGCGCAGGATGAGGTGATTTTGGAAGTTAACATGACCTGAACCACACATGCACAAAAGATAGCATCTGAAAAATGTAGTGTGCAGGCAGTACAGTTAAAAAAACCTTCAGCCAGAAAATGCTCGTTAGCTCCACCGCTGGCCGGAGAGTGGAAGAGGGAGAAGAAAGGCAGTCCATGCATTTTTCAGGAAAGCCTGCTGTGTTACCACCATAAAGTCAAAGGCAAGAGCAGAATTCAGCCTTAGCCTTCTTGTTCCTTGATAAAGTTGGGTTGGGTTGGTTTTCTTTAAACCTGGGCAGATATAATTTTAGTATTTACTGCTACAGAGAAAGGAAGCTTGGAAGGAGAGATGATACATTTTATTAAATCAACGCATACAGTTGGAAAAAGCTAACAGTTTGAACACAGTATTTCAATTTTAAACAAAGTTTCAGTCACTTTTTTCATTCAGTTAGAAATGCAGTCAACAGAGCTTTTTTCTTTCATTAATTTTGTTATGTTATTTTTGATGACTGGTTGTGGGATTGTTTTGGTGTGGTCGCACTTTTAAGAATACATGAACAGTAAGGCAAATATGAACAAAGTCTTGGTTTCTGTAATGGTTTCAAGATATTTCTTTTCATTTATGAGGTATTTAGGCTTTTCTTTGCATGTGGATGATCAAAATACTCTAAGAAAAAAGATGTAGGCGTTCAAAAGCTGGATGTTTACTACTGTTGCATATGGTTACCCATATTCATAACAGTCTTTCAGCATCATCTGTCTGTGATCACGTTTTTATTTGAAAGAGACTAGTTGCCATGTTTGCTCTGTGATTTACATTATTTAAACAAATTGGGGGGAAAAAGAATTTGAAACAGCTCATTCAATAGCATGACTAAGACATATGACAACTTCTTTTAAAATGTTCAGCATTATATGGCCGTAAGGCTGGAGTTCAAACCCTGCGCGCACACAAAAACAAAGAATAACTCTTTCAGTCTGAAATAGCCTGGTGAAAGGATGCTGCCTCCTGGTGATTTATAGGCATATGAGCTTCCACTAAAATTGAATCTTAAAGAGAAATATTTTGTCCTCGGAAGAGTCCCGGCAGTGGCCCCGGCCACGCTCGGCTCGCGAGGAAGCACAAGCAACAAGGAGCCATCAAGGTGGGGAAGGTGGATGCTTCACACAGCACTTCTCTCTTCTTTTCCACAGGATTTTCTGCAAGGGGACTGCACCAAAGCCAGACAAAAGCTGAACTGGAAGCCGAGAGTCACGTTTGATGTGAGTGGCCTTTCTGGTGTGCTTTGTACCTGCCAGGTGTTCATGTCCTCTAAAAGAAAGTCACAGGAAGGGGAAGGGGGACACACACCTCTGTGTGGGGTGACTCGGGCACACAGAGAAATCCCAGTTTCAGTGACCCTGCGCAGGTTTTTGCTTTGAAGACAGCAGCCACCATGGCAGCGATGGGCAGCCCCGGTGCGCTGTGGTGCACCCAACACACACACTGGGGCTGGGACCAGAACTGCTGCAAGAAGAGCCCAGTAAAGCTCCATCCCCTCCTTGTCCTGCTGTGGGGTGCCAAGGGGGCTCATCATGCTCTGGGATGCTCCTGACGTGCTGCCTGTTTGTCCCCTGCGCCGTGGCCCTCATCTGCCTCTCTCCCTCCTTGCAGGAGCTGGTGAGGGAGATGGTGGACGCCGACGTGGAGCTCATGAGGAACAACCCCAATGCCTGAGCCCTGGCTGAGCCTGGTGGGCGTCGCAGGACCCGTGCCAGGGCTGCACCCCATGGCCAGCACCGCCATACGCCACCGGGGTGGGTGGCCGCCCCTCCCCGTCACGGTTTTATTGCTGCCTGCCTGTGCGTGAAAGCCTGGTTTTATCCCTCCCTCCACCTTCCACACCCTCCCGGTGCCTCTCGCCCCACTCGTCATCCCAGGGTCAGCCCTGCCTGAGCTAACTCTGGCTCCTGCTGTTAACTGGGCAGGGGTCACACCCCACACACCCCCTCCCAGTACTGTACCTGAAGTACTGATCGGCCAGCAAGCCCGCTGATTTCCTTTTTTAATTAAAGCTCATCTTTATCTAAGACCTCCAGCACATTTTCAGTACGTTCTTCCATTTGAAAAACAAAAGGGTCCCTTGCCCTCCACCCCCCAACCTCCCCTCTCCTCCAGCAACAACAGCAGCAAACCTCTGGCACCAACATGGGCTCGCCATCCCTCCGGCCCTTGCTCCACGGCCTCCCCTCTTCTGCCTTTCCTGAACGAACACTCCTTGTTTTTCTTTCCTGCAGCCTTACCTCCACCCCAGCGGCCCATTTCCACCACTTGAAATCTGTAAAAGTTTGGATAACTTGATATAACTTGCAGTGAAATCGCCTTTTGACCATGCCGAATTAATTCCTAATTGCTGGAATCGCTTTCAAACCAGTCAGAGGGGGCTTGTAAGCGTTTTTTCAGATCTTCATTTCAGAGTGTGCGTGAGTCACAGAAAGCCTTTTTGTCCAGCACCTTCTCGATCCGGGGGTCTAGCGTGTTTTGGATTTTGCCCCCCCAGAATCAACCCATTCCCCTTCCATCCTTTTCCTGCTTACTATAATTAGACCTCGGACGGGAGCTTGAACCATCTCAAAAGATGACTTAAGAAATGAAAACAAAATAAATAAAAAAGCTTAAAAAAAAATAGAAACTTCAAGGTGAGTAAATATTTTTATACTTTTCATGCCAAGGTACCCGGGTTATCCAGAGGTCGTCAAGCCCATACATTTCCCGTTGGTTTAGGATCTTCCACCCACCGATTACTCCCATCGTTTTAGCTTTACGCTTCGAAATAAGCAAAGGGTGAGATACACGGGGCGGGGGCAGACACGCAGGATATACACCACCTCCGAGCGCACCTCTCGTTTTTACTTCGTATTGCGGGGGGGGCAGGGAGG